CATGTATGTCAGATATTCTATTGACTGAAGTCTTTTTCACCTGGAGAACAATTTACCTTAGTTTTGAATCATTGGAAATGCATATTTGGAGTTAAAATGTAATGGATACATGTRCCCGAGTTGCAAGAGAAGTACTTTATGACATGCTAGTCTTATGTWTCTAAGCTTGCTTATCATTTGTTTCCATATGTCCCATCCGACATGATTATCGCAGGACAAAGATAWGTATGACTGTCTTTAAAATAGCACAAGACCATTACATTTAGCTCCATAAAAAGACCATGTTATCTATATACAAATGTAGGTTTTGTGAATTGTCCTATGAACGGTGGCTTTTAACTATCTGATGTCAAAAAGGAAATTCTCTWGTTGTCATCTTCTTATGATGTTTTATAGATGATAATCTTACTCAGTCAGTTCTTCTAGCTCTGACTAAATCATACATTTAGGTTATTGAAACAGTTTGGSAAATTTTATTACAATCCAAAGCAGCCTGTTAAACAGTGCATCAGATCGATATAGTAATGCCAGACTCTAAGGTAACCATTATCACTTACCAATCAGAGGTTCTTTGTACTGTAAGAAGTCATTGGCACAATGTGCCCCAGGAGACCCCTGCCAGGGAGGTTTTTGGTAAGGTTTGTTTTTATGAGAAAACTGGGAATTAAACAAAGGWCCAGGRCTAGATATATTCATACTAATAGATCCACCATGCTTCATCTTTTGTTTTTGCATCTGTCTTGCAGCCCCTTGTTTCTCTAGGTTCTACAAAAAACAAACACAAGTATTTTGAGATATTTTGAATACGTGTATGTGTTACCATCAGCAATTGCATGTACCATAAACTATTTCTTTGCGAAAGCAGTGGGTTTTTTTATATGTGGAACCTTATTAGAGGAGGATAAGTAACATGTAAAAGTGTTTCTTTTAATATATGATACCTTAGCACTATGTCATGAAGTTCCTTTTTGATCTCAAACAGATAAACTACCCTTAAAATGACTTTTTACCTTTCTGTGTTTGTTTCCAAGAAGATGAGAATTCCATGCTGACTCACTGTTGCATGTGCACTCACAAACCTATAAACACACAAGTCAAATGGAATTATTTTAATCTTTTGAAATACTTAGTAGATACATGTATGCTTTTACATGTGAATTTTTTTCCTTTGAGTGGTAAAATTGTTATCATTTAAAATGAATTTTTATCATGTACATGTGATTATATTTGTTGTTTTCAAGTTAAGTCACAGCGTCCATCTTGGAGGAACTTAACAAAGGATTTCTCATTAGTATTTATTGATCAATTCCTCCAACATGGCCGCCGGTCTTTTATCTTTTGATTCTCATGGGAATGGTTGAAAATGATCAATGTGTAGTTCCAGAAAATATCCATACCCCCACCGCGGGGGATATTTCATTTATGACCCCCCGCCCTCCCCGGAATTTCCGATTTTTGACCGATTTTTAAAAACTCTTCTCCCACCCACACCCCTCCGGAATTTCCGACAAAAAGGCAGGTATTACCCCCACCCCCCTTGGAATTTCCGTCAATACCAAATACGCATTCATGACGCCTGGCAATTTAAAATCAAATGTTTTTGAGTATTAGAAGAACAGAGGACAAATAACGAACGAAAGCCGCGGAGATGGAACAATGAAGTCTAGCACCACATTGATTTGATATGCATGTACATATCCATGAACTTTGCGAATTCTAAGTACAATCTTGAAGAACTATCGGCCGGAACGTGAGCAAGTAGTTTCTTTACTGTTTATATATAAATTTGCAATTCTATTACGATCTAGAAATCAATCTTTTCCTCCTAAATATGTATTTTTTCAGCATAGTAAATCTTAAATGTTCGATTTTGGTGTTTTACCTAAAGCTCAAACTTCTTTGTGGTCATAAATCTTTGCCGATTATCGAACCGTCACTTTAGTGTAAACAACCACGTGCTTTGATTAACAAATGAATCTAGAATCTTATTTATACACTTATTCAATAAAGAAGGATTCTTTTCCCTTTTTCTATCATCAGCCTTTCTTTCTTTTTAAGTACAAGTCCATGTATTGAGGTTTAGTTTTGCAGACTTGTAAAAACGGGTACGTGAATTTTAGTGTGGTAGTCATTTCTACTGACAGTTGTCACTTGTATTTTCTTTCTTCAATCGAAAGAAAACCCATTTTGTGTAGAAGCTGTCTGTTTGAAGCACAATCTTCATTTAAATCCACGTCAAATAACTTATTTAAAGAGCGTCCAGCAAGTCAGGAATACGGTAATAACGCATATCTATGCATATCGATTTTTTGTAGATCGATTGCAGATTAATCCCCCACCCCATCGGAATTTCCAAGCTACTTTAACCCCCCAACCCCTCGGAATTTCCGAAATCCTCCGTGGTGGGGGTATGGATATTTTCTGGAACTACACAATAATGATAAAAAATTGTTGTGCTTACTTCACAAACAAATGAAACAGGCTTCTTCTCTTCATCTTTCTTGTTATTGACTTTCATCTCTAGCACCTCTGCTGCCTTCTTTATGTGTTTAAAGCTTATTGAGTGTTCCTGGAATTCCTGAGACAAGCAATCAATCCATCAATTAATAATAATTATTAGATATTATATGATGTTTACAGGATGACCTTACTCTTATGGCTTAACGGCACCCAACCTGAAAAAGTTGCTTGTCATGCATGAATGTACAAGTCTTATATTCTTATGTTTTAATCGTATGAGGAAGTAGCTAATCCCATTAAAGAGTGCTCAATACACATAAAGTGTAGAGCTAGTTATCTATATGATATCAAAGAGGCAAGATTTTGCTGTAACTCCGAGTTTCGTGCTACGCACTCATCAGACAGTATTTAAGATTTTGCTGTAACTCCGAGTTTCGTGCTACGCACTCATCAGACAGTATTTGTAGCACGAAACTCGGAGTTACAGCAAAGTCTTGCCTCTTTGATATCATATATATTCTTATGTTTTATATTATGTTTATGATGTGAATCAGTTCAGTATATCTTGTGGCTTTACTATGGACAAAATATGACCACAACTCTCTTGTCTCTAAAATGTAAGATTAAGCTTATCTTRTTTGAGTTTTCTATAAGACTAGGACTGCATTACAAGCCATGCTTTGCTCAAGAAAATGGCACTGACTGCATTTTAAGTCTTCTTTTAAAAACAAACAAACCTGAACGTCATTTGCCGTAAAATCACATGGTTTACAGTGAAGTGGATTCTCGGTATCAATCCAGTCTTTTCTATTCGGTTTCTTGCTATTTGACTTATCAATACTGGCTGTTGTTTCACTATCATCGCCACCTAAAAGTCCAACACGACTCGGCTGAACGAACTGAAGCGGTGATGAACTCGAAGCAAAATCCGTGTAGAGACTTCCTTCTGGGTCATTAAGATCACACATGGTTGAAGAACTGTTGTTACTAGTGGTTGGGACTTCACTCATGCTAAAATCCACTCAAAAATTGCTTAAAATKGCACCAAATCGACATCAACACGAAAACACAATTCTCCCCTCGCACCTTGTTGCAAGTAGTGCGCACGCTCACATGGTTATCCACTGACTGTCTGGTACAATGGGCTCAATTCAGTCTGCCACGACGAAATCACATAATCGACCCATCGATGCTGGAAAAAAATACAATCATTTCACCATAATATTACAATTTAGAGTTTAATTAATATATATTTTAATTACTTGATATAAGAGGTCTTCACACTTTAGCGCAGATATGGTTCTTTTTGCTATGATAAGCCGAGTTAGTGATGGTATGCCTTTGTCAGCCTCTACAGACCTCGACTTGCATTTCGAGATCAAAGAAAGCAAAAGACAGGCGAAGATCGTCGCTAAGAAAGCTAATCAATATCCAATAAAGTGTTGGACCTCTAGTGGAAGCCACAACATTTAGTAAGTCGTGGTAGAACTTTATGTACATTGTCGCATAGAGATTTTTCGCGCGTACAAAACATTGTTTATGCTAGCTGTGTGTAACTTTTAGATTAGTGTAGTATTAAGCTTTCGTAAAACTAAACTAATGTAAACTTTTATCATTCARCACATTAATAATTACACTAGCATATTTCAGTGCACATGTTTTGACCATTAAAAACCCTTCGATTATTTAACTTACTAACCTTAAAATATTATGGGTAATTATTATTATTAAGGTAATAAGCTTATATTWATTATAATAAATTCATCTTGGAGTCTTTAATTTTGCGCTTACTGCTGTGCTTATGCACTTATCAATGTCTTGCCCCAACGGGRGGAGCCCGGGCATACCCAGGGGCTATTAACATTTTTGGAAAACAAATGTCAATGAGCCCCTCTTAAATTTTACATCAAATGACAATAGACCCCTCATATTATAACGATTTAATGTAAAGTACACCAGGACTGCATTGCTCAAAGCTTGATAAAAGCTGAGCCTGGTTTAACTCTTAAAAAATACTACATGGTGTTAATCCTAGATTAACACATGCTTAACAAACTTTCCTGCAGTTGTAAGTGAATGAAATAACATTCTAAAATTTTTAGTCTCTGATCAAATTGTCAATAAGCCCTACCCTGGGGGGATCCCTGTGTCAATAAAAGTCTAACAGCCCCTGTCAGGGGCTACAATGGTTCGTTTGTCAATAGCATGTGTGCACCAGGGCTCCCCCTGTTGGGGCAAGACATTGATAGGTGCATTATGCATATCAAAACATATTATGAAAAATTATAAATATCATTATGGATTAATTAAGCATATCTTTATTTTCAGTTTTGTGAAAGCCGTAGGTGTATGCTTCATTACYGTCTGTGAGGCTGCGTACCCCACTGTTCTTGCATATTGTTTTTTGGATGAAATCCAAAGGGAATTCATGGTTGTTTATCAGAGTCAAGATGTACAAAGAGCTAAAAGACCTTATTCATTTATTGAATTTGGTAAGTTAAAAGAAAGATACAGCAATTAGGATGCATTGTATAATGAGAGCAATAGAAATTCCAGTATTGAAGCTTTCAACATTGACTAACAAAGATCTATGGGTTTGTAGTCTTCCTCAATACCCAGTGACCACAATGCTTTTCAGTTGTGTTCTYTCGCTTTTCAACCATAAAGTCAAATGTTGTAAATCTATTGATAATGATTATGTTTTGCAATTTCTTTTAGATTCATTTATTCAGAAAACTAAACAGAGATATAATAATACCAGATCATTAACAACAAGACTTAACCTCAGTGAGATGAGTGAAGAGCTACAAAATCATCCTCCTCATCAAATTAGTCAAATAGACCTCACAAGCTCTGTGGATTTAGGTGTGGATGTCAAAACATACAAAACTGGAGGTAAATCAATGAAAATCAGGGATGTCAATCCCCAAACTTTATATATCTGGAGAAGTTGCCTTGATTATGTGTATGACGTCACACCATGTGATAGTCTCCTCACAGCCGTGTTTAGTTTCGGTCACGCGGTTGCGTGACACGTGACGCGTGACCGAAACTTGAAACTAAACACGGCTGCGAGGAGACTAGGTTGCGTGACGCGTGACCGAAACTAAACACGGCTGCGAGGAGACTAACCATGTGAATGACGTCATCAATGACGTCAAAAATGACGTCATATTCTGTTTCAACCAATGGGATTAGACATTGCATAATCAGTTTATATATTTTTCATGCGCGAGTGCACGTAAACAACGCCTGTAGATATTCCGTTCTGTGTCGAAAGACTCGAGGAAACGCAACATGGCATGAAAATATACATACTATGAAAATATTGTGCGTATCCGGGAGATTTAGGGCTAAAATCTTGAGACTGAGAGATTCGATCTGAAATCGGGAGTCTCCCAGCAAATCCAGGAGAGTTGACGTCCCTGGAAAATTGATCATATTTCACATGAGTGTGTAATACAGTTACAAAACCTTGCAAAACCAGATAATGAATGACAATGAATTGTGAAGTGACAGAACTCAAATTATTCTGTTAATCAGGGCACTGTTGTTTAAAGGCTGATTAGTAGTAATCCAGGGTTAACTCCATACAATTTTTAAGATTTAAACCAGGATTACAATAATCAAGCTTTGAACAAACTAGTCCAGGGGCATATATGKATCMAGGATTCGTCATTTGAAAMRTTTCTCAGTGTGATGTCATATGGCGTTTATGATGCCAAAGCAGTTTATTGTTTAAATGCAAAATAGTCAATGGAGAAATGAGAAAGCTAATTTTCTTAACTRCCTTAATTTAATAAAATTGTRATATTTTTTGACAGGTCCACCCAACAAGCTACAGCCAATCACATGGGTGGGAATGGTTATATGTGCACTTCTGGCACTATGTGGACTTCTCAACTTTATCAGATGTCTACCGTTACTCAGTTCAGTTGGAGTGAATGATGAGGTAATTATTCTTATTTCAAGAATCATGTGTGGTAATTGTGTGACTTGGAATTATATCAAGAAAATAGACCTCTGCAGCTTTAACGTCATGTACTGTATACATTGTACGCAATGCATTATAGGATATCTTTGGGACAGAACATGGCAGATTTCTTTTGTTTTCTCTTGAAGTTGATCCCACAATGCATTGGAAATCAAGTAGTGACGTAAAAGGTTCAGAAGTCTATTGTTAAACTATAATTCATTTTGCTGTACCAGAAGAATGTTTAATTTTGTAATTAAGCTTACGTTTGATGAACATGAATTTCAAGGTTTTGAAATTAACAGTCAAAGGATGGGATTATATTTTTTTAACAAAATACATCTTAAAAACAGCCTCATCACTTTTTGATAACATCAACAACAAATATTTAGGGTACTAAGATGTACGTTGTATGTTTTATTTAAAAAAAGCAAAATCCGATACTTTGACTGTTATTAATGTTCAAATGCCTTGGTTTACCTGTGTATTCATCTACATGTATGACTATAATAAGTTTGTGTTCATGCATCCACTTTTTTAGTCTACAGAAAACCCAGCGCACACTGCAATCTGCTTCTTTGTTGCTGGCATCCTTAATTGCTTTCAGGTAAATGATGACAATACAATGATGACTTTTTGACACACACTCTAGTTTGTGTATCTTATGCCTTAAGAAGTATATTCCACCACTCTAGTGATGTTTTGTTTTTGGTCTTTTTGCAGTGCTATCTCCTGATTTTCAACAACAAGGGGAGATTCATATTYTCATGTACGGCATCATTCTTCCTTATTATATTTGTCATATATCTTAGAAACTTACGGAACATCTGGCAGATTCTATTTCACGTTTGTGTAACTCTTGCAGCACTCTATCAAATAACAAGAAGACAACTACAGCAAAAACCACCAGACTATAATGTATAATTTATTTTCATTCAGATAAAGTGTAATATAAAGTTTAAATTATAAACTGTCCAATTTAAATCGGATTGTTTCAGTACAAGAAAATAGTAGATTTTTATAAAAGTATTTTACACCTATATACATGTATACTGTCTTGTAAGTCATAGATCTGCTGTTTATAAAATAGACCGATCAAGGAACAAGACATTTATAATGTATCAATAAATCTCAGGCATTTACATTTACCGTGTGTTGTATCTAGTCGATCTTTCCCAGGGCACAGCAGGGCACGAGTTCGCGTTAGAGCGTCTAGCTTACTTTCGTGTTACTTTGGGATCCCTGTGCTTGGAACTGCGCATGCGGACAAGCTACAATTTGTATACCAACGACGAAGAAGCGAAACAGTTTGTAATGATGAAAGTTCTGGCGATATTTCTGTGTTTTTGTATTATTATCCAAGCCACTTCAGCTGAACGTGGAATGATGGTTGGAGGAAAGGAACCCATCAACCCGAGGGATGTTCCTTTGGAGGGAATTGATAAAGCCCTTGACATGGCTAGGGAAAAATTGTCGTCGAACTCTTGTTCAAAGTTCGTTTCACAAAAAATCATCAAAGCTGAAGCCCAAGTCGTTGAAGGAATTCTGTATTTTGTCAAAATTGAGATTGCTCCAAAAGATAAGACTAAAGATTGCCAGCTGTTAGACGATTGTCGAAATGAATTGTATGTTTGTTCTTTCAATATATGGTCTCGATCGTGGTTGAAAGACCCTGACAAACAACTACTTGTGGACAAACTTCACTGTGATTGCGAATTCAAACAATGATTTTATCTATCGACAGCAAAGCTTGGAAAAGAGCAGCGAAAGACTGTCTTCACTTAGTCATCAGCATAGATTTTATTTAATACATTAGAAAATGTATCAAGATATGGCAATAGTGATAAATAGAATATTACATGTTCGCTTGGAGATACGAATTTTATCTTCTTCGCTACGCTCACTCGTAAGAGATCTTTTCAACACTCGAAAATAAAAGCCGTATCTCCGCGCGCCCATGTAATATCCACCATATCGAATATACACTTTGATCTACACCTTAGTGTGCCATAAACTAACTTAGTTGATAACTAAATATAATTTGGTGCAAATTGGTTAACTTTTAACATCCAAATGAGTTTTTCGATTATTTTTATGCGAAGTTGATGCCACCTGAGACGAGTTGTTACCCTGCTAACCAAGGCATTCACATGGTTACAGTTTGACTGTTACATGAATGTAGGGGTAGGGTTTTTTAAGAAAAAGGACCATTTTTGGAAAATATAGCACTGTTCGGCAGTGTTATATTAAAAGTCTTCCCTTTTGACCTTCTTGTATATGAATTAAAAGATGAAGAGGGTTAAACATTTCAAGCTTGATTCAATTTTATCAAAATCAGTGAATGAATCAATCTCTAAATGCCTTTATGCCAAAAATTCACAAAGCTTAATGCAAAAAAACTCATTTGCATGTTATAAACACTTAAGTGAAATTGTTCTTATATTATTGTATTATATTATTACTATATGTTCATTTTGTATAACATGTGTGAGTMTGTTGGATTATTGTTCAAAATAGGTAAATTTTTTACAACATACAATGGCAGATACTTTAAGTTCAAATATATCACATATGTTCAAATCGTTTCACACTTGTTTTCATTTTGTAGTTGTTTATCTATAGTACACCCACAGGAAGACCATCACACWCAATACTAACACAGTTGACACGTTTAAGGCCCACTTTTGGAGGGGTGTTTCTTCAGCAAATGGTACTACATCAAGGTACCGTACAGTTTTGATGCTTTGGCCCTCAGTTTGACCCTTGAACTTGGTGTAGTTCCTGTCTTCATCTTCAACAGTTGTATTGTCAGTTTCTAGTGGATTAAATTAAATACAAATAGGCAAAAGAGCTAGTCCTTTTCCAAATTCAAATCATATAACTACATTCTTATAGTAAGATACTTCAATCTGTTTCCCAAGGGACAATCAAAAGGCTGAATTAGATTACACAACTGTCGTGGGGCTATTAAGCAATCGATGTTTTAAATCCCAATGACAGTTGTAATGTAGACATGTTGTAAGGATGACTTATGCAGGTCGCATGCGATGGTTGTAGACATTGTAGACAAAAGTTGTGTCATGTAATTCGGCCTATAGGCTCTGGTTGGAGGCGAAGGAGGATATTTTTGACTGGTTCAAATGCTTATCATGCAACCTAGATTTTGTGTGTTCCTGTATCACCTTCAAACGAGCTTTCTAGCTTCAGCTGGAAAACTGCTAAGATGGGTTTGAGAATGCAGATAATCATTTTATGGACGTCTGACTTGTTTGCCTTGTATGACTCAGTGATAAATAATTATCACCCTAGTCCTGACTTAATTTCTGGAAATTATCCAATGAAATTCAAGTAATTGCGCTTTCTTTCCAGTATTTTGAAAGATAAACACTCCCCACTGACACAAACACACTAAAATKCTGGCAAATAATATTATGGATTTATTGGCTGGTCTTCTGTGKGTAYTTACCAGTTTCMATTTCTTGTCCAACCTGAGACAACTCATACGTGTTTCCTCCATGAGCAGATGATAATCCCTCTTCACCTATGGCTCCATGKGATATTGGACGGTCATTGATGGTTGGCCATGTCAACCCACCTAACTCTTCACGTGGCACTTTACTTGTGAACATGCTGACAACCACCTCAACAATGCCGCACACACCAAATATAACCAATGCTGTGAACAACAGTAGTAAATAATGTAATATTTGACTCTATTAGGTGGGTGCCAATGTTGTATTTGAAGGCAATTTACATGTAAAAAATGTACATTCATTGGCTATAGCAACATCTCTTCAGCCACTTTTTAATTCCTAAATTGCGTGTCATTAAGTCAATAAGTCAATGTGCAATGGCTTTTTCAGTAATGAATTTTATTGGCTATCACTTACCATACCACAAGAAATGTAGTTTGACAAATGAGGGTCTATCGTCCACTGATCCACAATCAGGGGGAGGATAGATGTTGCCAAAGATAAACTTCATTAGTCCCATGATAAGACCGATGATAAGTCCAGATARTGCACCTGCCTTAGTCAAACCAGGCCACAGTATAGCCAGACCAAACGTCATGGTCATTTGAGGAGCCAAGTAAGATAAGATCGTCTGAATGTACACTAATAGCCGACTACCATGGGCACCTTTGGGGGGAGGGGGAAATGAGTTGCAATATCTTCATTCATGCTATATCCTTTTTGATAGTTTCCACTTATGAAAAGGTGAAAAACGATACATTTTTAAGTAAGTATATGATGAATTACGTCAATAGTCACCTTGAATGATAGGTAACCAGCATATACCCAGTCCAGCAAGCAAAACCACTATAACTCGGCCAATAATAACTTTTTCTCGATCCGATGCCTGAAATTATATTGCTAATGATCTTGACTAGCGCAATGTCTAATTTACCGGTATTAATATATACAATGTGAGCAGGAGATCCTCTGGGRTGTGTATGCCTGATAACTTAGAAAAGCTAGATGTCAGGCGTTTGCATTTGTTTGTCCTGTATAAAGTGAAGTTTGCGTCGGAAACTGATGCTTATTATAAAGTCTTTGCCGGTTTCGTTTTTTCTCTCAGAGCATCATATAGAAGAAACATCTTAAATTATAGTGTCTTGATTGTAGAAGAAAAATTATGAATGATAACAATGGCACAGTATACCGACAGTACCTTTGGTCTTAACAAAACCCAAACATCAACGGTGAATATAGTTGCACTGCTGTTGAAGGCTGAAGACAGGGAKGACATTAAAGCAGCCATCATGACTGCCATCATGACACCGACAAGACCCGTTGGTAAAATGTTTAGCACAAGTCTGAAAAGAATATGTGGCTTTTGAATAGTGTTAACACTAAGTATTCTTCCGGATGAAGAATTGAACTTATGCGTGAACCCTTGCGTCTCCGTCGAATTTTYATACGTAATCAATTATCATCATTTAAACGTTTTCTCCATTACACGGAATCCGTTTTGCATTAATTTCGCAAGGATTGATCTTGATCCCATTATTATGGATTCTAGATACAAAGCAGCTTTGCTTTTTTTTTCAGGAAACATTTGAATTAAGTAATTTAGATTCTGGTTTCCTCTTGTTTTACCGGATCCCGTTTCCATTGCTTATTCCGAAATCCAGAGCCAAAATTTTGTCGTATTCTGGATTCCAAACCATAGAGCAATATATTAAAATTCAAAATATATAGTAGTTTGTGACTGGCCAAGGGCTACAGCTATTTCTCCATTTATCATGATGACTCGGTACAATTGTTATCATGGTTTAGCAAAAATATTCGAAGCAGTTACCAGTGATTGTCGAAGGGCCAGCAATAACTTTATGTCTTGGGCGTTAGCGTCCTACAATTTTCATGRTCATTTATTATGCGCTAGTAGGTGATTGGCCAATGACCAATAGTCAACTATTCAGTGACCATGTTACTAGTATGTGTATCAGAATCAGGGTTAAAATATTTACTTACTTGGGATAAGCGTTGTTGCTACACCCCCATTTGTTACCGCAGTAATGTAAACAGCTTTCCTTGTCCGMACAAGCAATGGAGTCGGGAAACAGGACTCTACTGATCATGCCAGGCATGACAATCAGAAACATGGGRGTAATCTTGAGTATACCGGCAAGAAGAGAGCCTGCTTTCGCGTGAAAATTGTTCTTTGCGCCTAGTGCACGTTGAACAAGAACCTGTTTTATACAAAAAWCTTATCAAAATAGAGTAAAACAACTGTGATTTCAATTCTAAACTTTGCGTTTAAATTCGCATATATTTCCCGCATCCTTAACTATGATTGGCTAATTGTGACAACCCATGTCTCGACAAAAGTCCCAAAAATAAATAGGTACAATACCCGCAACAGTTTTTTCTTCTTTTTCTCTTGCTTTCCCTTTGCGAGTCAAGTATCTAATGGAAGAGTATAAATAGCTTTTCTACTGACTTGTCACAAAACCCACCGTCTCGTGAAACACAGYGCTTGGACTGTTGTCGGAACCCTAGGGTATCATGGTGGTGGTCGTTCCTCGCTCTGAGGATGTTTTCACTAAATGCCAATGTTGCACTGTACAATCTATAAAGACTTGTCAAGAAACCGCAGTCGAATTTACCTGATCAGTACAAAAGTACCATATTCCTAAGATAGGGATAGTCGTCCAGTGGACTAACCAGGGGTAGTCTGGGTCGTTTAGAGGTCTAAACATATTTCCCCAGTATGGAGTCATCTTGTAGCAGTTGTCAGTACCATTTGTTATATTCATAAGGGACACAATGCTGCTACCATTTGGTGGGACTGGGCGCCATGGTGTTCCTTTAGCGCTTCCATATTTGGACCATAGTCCTTCRTGTCCACCGACTTTTGTAAAACCTGATAAAGAATGAAATATGGGAAGGATAAGGTTTTTACTTTTAAAACAAGAGTTTTTAGCACATCCAACATCAGTTCTATATGATGCTGAATGTCGATCGTAAGAAGTAATAGAGTTAGGAATGGCTGACTAGGACATGTAGAGCGCTACAAGTATCAAATTTGCTAAATTACGAGACCTTGTCCCAGCTCCTACAATTGTATTGTAATAGTTCTTGACTTGAATAAGAAATATATAGCGGGTTGAAGAATGCCTCCTAGTGTAGCTCGTTCCTTTATATGTATCAAAGAGAATGGATGGGAATTTGAAAAGCAAAAGATACAAAATAGGTATTGCGTCATCATTAGGAAGGAGAAAATTCAAAACCAAACAATAGGAGGTAGTTTTATAATACTTACTTAGAACCGATACAACAATCGCGCCAACTATCATTACTACACACTGTAAGACATCAGTGAAGATGACAGCGGTCAAGCCACCTATGTCACAATATATGAAACCACGTGATACATATAGCTGATATAACGGTACGATAATTTATACTCTAACAAATTACAACATAATGCAAAAATATATTTTTGTCCAGCATCATTTCTATTTTGTTCACTTCTCCTATTCTGTAATTTCATTCTTTTAGTTCTACTTTGTTTTCGTTTTCAATTGTTCATGTAATCTGAATGTTTTCGGTCCGGATGCTCTAATTTTTCTTTTGTTCGCTCAGATTTTTCTCTTGTTCATTCAGATACTTTCAMATTATATAGTTATTAAATGATGTTCAAGCATTATCTGCAGTTTTGTATTTAAAATATCAACCCTATATTTTGATAATATGTAAGTTAGTCGCCAGAGGTTTTTCAATTGACAGTATATAATTTTTTTTCTATAGAGTGTAATATGGGATCGAAAGGATACATGGGTATTACTCTAAGTAATTCCCGGCATCCCTTGCGTTTTCAGTTTGGTGTATTCTACTCATTTGATCTGGGTGATTGATTTGCGACCAGGCCTGCATATGAATTCGCCAAGGTTGTAAGCCAGTGAGCCCGTGCATTTTTGTTARKCRGTCATATTTGAAAATCTAAATAAAGGAAAGGGAAAACCCGCAGCTCTCCTTTCACTCAAATAGACAATACAAGTCGTGTTAAATTTATTTACATAACTAAACAAAATGATTATAGAATTTAACCTTTAAGAATTGAATGCTCATATGAAACATTTTCCACCTTAAATACACACACGTGTTTTTCAGATTGGAATTTAGTCGAACTTTTTCCACGATGGAATTTTGTTTCGAGTCGTTTCGACATAAACAGTCGCTATCAAGACATTACACGAAAAACCGCAGTCACCGTTCTAGGCTCTCGTTGTAAGGTTAAAGCTAGTAAATGTGTAACCGACCTAGTGTTACATAACGTCAACTCGTTGTGTCGTCGAGCATGCTTGCGGGTTATTGCCAAAAATGCGACAAAGGATGAACTACGACAGTTGTTTGTATGAAACATAACAAACGCTTTAACTCTATTGGCATACATGGAGCTAAGCTGCTCTAGCTCTTTCAGTGATGTTGTAGATACCTCAAAGCTTTGAGGAAACAAGAGCTAAGAAAAAGGATTTGCAATGGTTCCTCCATAAGATACTTTGGACTTGAACGTCGCTTCAACGACCTTCTGAAGTCTTCGTGAAGTCGGCCATTGCTTCGCATGCAATGGAGAACCCGCGTAGAACACAGACTAATTATTTTTAGCAGGGAGTGGAGTCCCTTGGTATTAAAGAAAAAAATCTTTGCTATTTCCTTTTTAAGATAAAATTCTATTTCTATAACGATAAATATTTGATTGACATTTAATAAAAGCTATTTTATAAAGATTTTCCATTTGTCTTTGCGTTTTAGCTTTGATTTTTCGGATAGAATAAAAGGGCAGGCAGCCTACTCCACTGGGTCGAGTTTTGTTGTGCAAATTCCTCCCGTCGGGGGGTTATGTTTACAACATAAGCTTGTCAGCTTTGCGCTGATTGGCTAGTCGCATTTTCTCAAATCACCCAGATACAATTGAGCGGTTTTGTAGACGTACCAAGTAAAGTGTAAATGGCGGTTATTGCTAGCACACAAGCTGCAGAGAGGTACATATTCCATCCTACGGCCTCGTACAGAAACAGACTTCCAGCATAGATATCAACCTAATTCAATAGTTTTATTAGATTATCAAACCAGTCTTCGTTTTCAAATTCGTCACAGCAGCCATCTTGGTTGTCTCCTTCGCAGTGGAGGAGCTG